ACACACACACACACACACACACACACACACACACACACACACACACAGACAAAAAATCATTCCCCCCTTTACCATCCTTAGCCTCTATAAATAGGAATAAGCTGAATGTTCATTGGAAGACAATTAATCAACACATGAGTTTGTCTACTCAAAGGAATTCCATCCAAAAATAACAGACTTGAGCGTCCTAATGTATATAACACACAGGCAGACCGCAGTGTTATTATACTGAATGAGAGAATCCGGACAGAGAGGAGTTTATACTGTGTGATTCAATATTTATGAGGTTCTGAGCCAAGCAAAGCCAAATCATGGAACAGATATTCGGGGGTCGGGAGGGGGGAGGAGAGATCCAGCGGGGTTGGAATGGGAGAAAATGGCCTAGGGTGAGGCACAGAGGCTATTTTAGGAATTACAGAAGAGGGCTTCTGATATTGTACCAGTTTGTATTCAACATGCCGGTCTTAAAAAATAATAATAATGTGTCCCGTGGCCCTGAACATACACTAGAGCAACATGAGGACAGAGGAGGGCATCGATTCCCCAGAACTGGATTTTCAGGTGGTTGTTTTTCAGGGTGATTTTCAGTGTGGGTGCTGTGAACCAGACCTGGGTCTTCTGGGAGAGCAGCAATCACTCTTAACCACTGAGCCACTTCTCCAGGCCTTCATTGTGACTCTGTGTTAATGCAATGTGTGATACACAGATGTGTGCAGTGGTTGAAACTCATCAGGCTTGTCATTTCACCGAGTATAGGTGATTTTTTTAAAATAACAATGGGGAAAATTAAAAATAACCAAACTAGAAATCTTTGTATTGTGTAGTATGTGAAACATAAAAAAAAAAAAAATAGGGACAGATATTAGAAAGGACACTCCCTCTTATTTGAGTGATCATTTGTTAGCATCACTTATTGGCAAGAAGTTGCTTAAGGTGCATGTCACAACTTGTTCCCACACACTTTGAGCCAAGAAGAGTTGTGCATTTACTTTCTAATGAAACACTTCCCGTGTCCCTCTCCTCCTGGTGTGAGAAATGACGCTACTTTCTCTTCTCAGGGATGTCACTGGAAATGTCACGGTCTTGTCCATGGAGGTCTACTGAAAAATATTGCTTATTTCAACTATCAGCAAGACTTTGTCTTTTAGGGCATTTTCAGTCTATGCTGTCTTTCGGAAGGAAATGCTTTGTATTTATTTTAAAGTCAGCTTGGGAGTTTTGCTACCCCACCAAGGGAAGCACTACAGAGATGGGTACTGCTAGACCGCCCTCTAGTTCCAGGTTGGAAGTTGAATTGATGGAATGAATGAAGCAGATTGTAGAGGAACCGATGGCATCTAAGTATTTACTATGTGATCTCCAGTGTATTTCTTATTTCTGACTGTCCATTGCCACACCAGCAGGCATAAGAACGTCCATCCAAGAGCACCAGGCCATGAGCAGGGATTTCAGTCAATGTTACCCAACCTTCCTTAACTCTGCCTTAGAAAGCAGGAGGAGCCGAGCCATCTCTGCAGCCCAAGAAAATGTGGTACATTTACACAATGGTATACTACTCAGCTATTAAAAACAAAAACACCAAGCAAATAGATGAAACTAGAAAAGATTATCCTGAGTGAGGTAACTCAGACCCAGAAAGACACACATGACGTGTTGTAGTTCTCCCTTAGGCGGGGACATGGATTTCTGCATGCCTGGAGCTTGGCTTCCAGACAGAGAGAGAACAGGACTCCTTTTCTCTCAGGGGCAGCTGAAGTGCTTTCCAGTGATGCCTGAGTGTGCTAAGCTGGGGTGTGGAAAATGTTCTCTTAGCTCTTTTAGAAAGAGATCGCTGGTGGCAGTGGAAATGTGGGCTTTCCAAAGCTTATGGCAATTCCAAAGTGTTACAGGTCTCAGTTAAGGCTCTGGGCTGAACACTGCAGAGATTTGGGGTGAAATCCATGCCTGTAGGTGGAGACATATGCCTGGTGAGGCCCAGGCCGAGCAGCTCAGCAGCGGATAGATGATGAATCTCAGGTGGTCATGGTGGAAGGTTGATGGTATCATGCAGCCAGTCAGCCTGTTTATTTGAAATCAGGGATTTATAAATCTTTGGGCAGTGGGAGAGATTTTGAATGTGTTCAATTCTCTGGGGTCAGGGGGTCAGGAATACTTGATCTACACGCAATGCCTCATTTTCCATGCAGTAGCATGGTCCTATAACAAGAATGAAAATACAGTACTTAATTATCCTAGGAGTGAGGGGAAAATATCCAATAAAGTTGAAGATCATTGCTTAAGACTATGATCTCCTTAGCAGGGCGGGGCATTTCTAGGCATGCCTAGATACTTGCTGGATTGGTTTTCTTATCAGAAAAGGGTCTGGCCTGTAATCTTCCCTGAGGGCTATATGACACTCCTTACAAAAGCTGGGGTCACCCAGATGGGGGTGCAGGGGGTGCTTTTAGAATCTCACCGAGACAAGGGAGTCTACCATAATAGACAGAGGACAAATAAATGGGTATCCAGAGATGACAAGATTCAACCTAATCCAGCAAAGCCCCACAGCATGTACGTACTTGTAAGTAGATATTAGCCATAAAGTACAGGATAACCATGATAAAAATCCACAGACCTAAAGAAGCCAATGCATGCCCAAGGGAAGATGCTTGAATCTCACTCAGAACATGTAATAAAATAGAAATCTGAAGTAGATAGAGGGAGGGAACTGGGTAGGAGAAGAGGTAGGGAGAGTAATGAGAATGGGAATCAGGTGTTTGGAGAGCTGGGGGAGGGGGAATGAAGGGAGGACCCAGAGAGAAAACAGAAATTGGTGGGGGGACATCTCCAAGACAGGGGAATCTCCCAGGAGTCTATGGGGGTCACCCTAGCTGAGACTCCAAGCAGCGGGGGTTAAGGAATCTGAAGTTTCCACCTCCTGTAGCCAGGTGGGATGCCCAGTAGAAGGAGGGGGCACCAACACATTCATAAAACCTTCAACCCAAAATATGTCCTGCCTACAAGAAGTGTAGGGATAAAGATGGAGCAGAGTTGAGGGAACGGCCAACCAGTGTCTGGCCCAACTTGAGACCCACCCCGTGGGAGAAAGCCAACCAGTGGCACCATTAATGGTACTCTGCTATGCTTGCAGACAGGAGGCTGGCATAACTGTCTTCTGAGAAGCTTCATCTGATGAAAAAAGATACAGAGACCCACAGCCAAAGAATAGGCCAAGCTCAGGGAGTTCTGTGGAAGAGTGGACTGAAGGACAGAGGGAGCTGGAGGGGTCAAGGACACTACAAGAAGACCTACAGAGTAAACTGACCTGGGCTCATGGAGGCTCACAGAGACTGAACCACCAACCAAAGAGCATGTCTGAACTGGGTCCAGACCCCCTACACGGATGTGGCAGATGTGCAGCATGGTTAATAAGTGGGTCTCCTAACAATGGGAACAGGGGATGTCTCTGACTCTGCCTGTCACTGGATCACTTTCCCCTAACTGGGCTGCCTTGTCAGGACCCAGTGGGAGAGGATGCGCTTAGTCCTGCTGAGACTTGAGATGCTAGCCTGGGTTGGTACTCCTTGGAAGCCTCCCCTTCTCTGGGAAGAAGGAGAGGAGGAAGTGGGAGGAGTGATGTGTGAGGATAGGTCTGGGAGGAAGGGGGGAGCTGGGATCAGGCTGTAAAGTAATCAAATAAATAAATGGGAAAGAAGAAAGCAGGAAGGAAGAACACTGTGATGGCTAGCTCTATGTCAACTCCACACATCTAGACTCATTTGGGAAGAGAAAAACCCCAAATGAGAAAATTGGCCTGTGGGCAAGTCTGTTGGGACATTTTCTTGGTTAACTACCCACTTGGGGTAGTGCCACCCCTGGGTGGGTGGTCCTGGGTGTCTAAGAAAGCAAGCCTTGGAGAGTCACATAAGCATCATTTCTCCATCAGCTGCATGCAGCCTCCATGCAGTCAGTTCCTGCCTGACTCTCCTAGATGATGGACTGTAATCTATAAGATAAACTCCTTCCTATAGAAATTGCTTTCTGCAATGATGTTTTATCAGAGCAATAGAATCCCTAACTAAGATAAATACTGTCCCTTGCTCTCCATACCAGAGCTAAGTTACTCAGAAATCTGGACATTCATTTTGAAAACCATACACATCTCTCCGAACTGTTTCAGAAAGAGGTGGCAACGAGCCAGTGAAGGTGAGGTTGGGAGGAGTGGGAGGTCCTCAGTTTTTTCTTGTATTAGAGGAGTGAGTGGTTTTCAACCTTCCTAATGCTGCAACCCTTTAATGTAGTTCGTCATGTTGTGGTGACCCCCAACCGTAAAATTATTTACATTGCTACTTCATGAATGCAATTTTGCTACTATTATAAATCATAACCTAGGTATCTGTGTTTTCCTATGGTGTTAGGCAACCCTTGTGAAAGATTTGCTCAACCCCCAAAGGGATCCCAGCCCACAGGTTGAGAGCTGCTGTATTAAAACATCATAAATATTTTATAGCAGCAATTGATGAAAATACGCTCATCTTCTATTTTTTTTTTCTTGTGGAAGGAGAGCTTGCGACAAGTGCTCTTACCTTCTGAACCATCTCTACTGCGGTGTAAATGATGTTGTTTAAAGTAAGGCCATTAGATATGTTTGTCCACTTCTGCACGACGCTTGCTGTTTTTCTTCCCGCGTCTCTTCCATGCTGTACATAGACCAGGAGACCTTTACCAGAGTTTAAACAAGTGGGACTGCTCAGTCTTGAACTTTCAGCTTTCAAATTAGGAACTACATATATCTGTCTATATAATACACCTAGCCTTAGATATTTTACTATGACAACAAAAATAGGTGAATATAGGACCTCTCATTTTCTAATGAGGAAACTGAGGCTCAAAGAGCTTATGTGCTCGCTTCATCTTGCATAGAGGCAAGAACCAAACCCAAGCCTTGAACCCTAGCCTCCTTGCTTTGCATGTTTCTCAATAGACTGGACATCATGTTTGGGTACACCTTCAGCTATTTTTTTAGAGTGTTTCAATGAAGTGGTCCAGCAAAACAAGCCTGGGTACTCTCCCCTCAAGTACAGTATGTGATGAAGGAAAGTGAAGAAGCAGGAGCCAGACCTGAGCCACCACACACAAATGTCCCAGCAATGGCTTGCAGGACAAACTTTCAACATGACACTTGTGGAGCCTCTGGATTTGAATCTTCTTCCATGTTCCTCATTCTGTGCTTACTTTCAGCTCACCTCTAAACTGAGAACAACCATTGACGCATGGAGAGTAGAGACAAGCAGACACATTCCATTCGTAGAGCACCTCAAGAGAGCTACCAATCAAATATGAATTTCATAAATGCACACTTAAAACATCTCTATTCCGCCCTGTCCTTAGATTTAAAACTAGAGTTCCAGAAACACAGTAAAATGGTGGTTGCCAGTGCCTGGGGTAGGGGTCGTTTGAAGTAGAGTGATTGCCAAGGACTACACAGTTTCAGTGATGCAAGATGAATAATGAGCTCTTGGGATCCAGTATGCAGCATGATGGCTGTACTCTGCTGCCAGCAGATTTTTAAATATGTTCACTCCAAAAGAAAAGAAAAAAATTGTAACTCTATGAGGTGATGAATATGTTAATTAGCTTAACAGGCACAATTATTCTACAGTGTAAATATAGCCAAACATTGTGGTTTATACTTTAAGAATATACCAATTTATTTGTCAATTATATCTCAGTAAAGCTGGGGAAATATATTGAGTCCTTATGCTAAATTGAGACATTATAACAATCTAATATGAATTCAGCAAAGATCTTAGATATATTGGAATTTTACTACCAGTAAGAATACCTCAGTGCTTTTGAAATTAAATGCTTCAAAGTCAGAAAAACACAGCAGTATGTCCCGATGAGCTCTCCTCTCCTCCCTTTCTCTCTCTCCCTGACACTCTCTCTGTCTCTCTCTATATCTTTGTGTGTGTGTGTTTAGTGTAGATCATCAAGTGCTTTCCTGAGCAAAGAGATTTTTCAATACGAACCCCACAACACTACCAACTTCCTATTCTGAGCTGTTCTTCCTCTTCTTAGGCTTGTCATAACAGGCAACAAGAGAACTGACAATCAGCAGAAGATTAATTTGGCATGCTCAATGTTTTTAGACATCAGCTTCTAAGGGAAGGAGGCTTTTATATTTCATTTTTTCTCTGCTCTATAGTGCTTTCTTGTGGTGTGCCTCCTGAAGGTAGAGACCTTCTGGTTTAGGTCAGTTATGTACCAGATTAAACACACATACACACACACACACACACACACACACACACACGCACACACACACACACACACGCACACACACGCACACACACACACACGCACATGCGCACACGCGCACATGCAAAAATGGCTCTAAAACCCACATATTTTTGAGCATCAACATGTGAAAATTCCAAACTTGGTGTGGTGTGTTGTCATAGGAAAATGCATTAATGACATTTGCATGGAATTATCTTCTGGCTCTGTGTGTTGGTTGCGTTTCTGCTACCACGAATTTTGTACAAGGCATGCTTATTCTGTGAGGAAAATTTTCAGCGGATACCACTTGAATGGAATGTTCAGCATGTTCTTATTTTCAAATAAAGAACATTTTATGAACTCTTTTGCTTCATTTTAAATGGGATCACAAGAATAGGAAATATATGAAAATTGAAGAAATTAATTCTTGTGAACTACGGTCCAAGTTTAAATTTTGAGTCCTTGAACAGGAAGCCTCTGGCTGTTAAGTGTAAAATAATCACATAGCTACTGGATTTTTCCAAACCCGGTGGTCATCAGACTTGCTGTTCCGTGGCAGTGGGAGGCACAGTAGTATTTTTAAATGAACACAATTATCTTTGTATCAGAACCAATATGCCAGACTTCTGAATTCTCTAAGCAGCCTCGAATGGACAGCAGAAGTTGGCCGTCTGTGCCTTAAAATGATGGATGTATTTATTCAGCATGTAGGAAGCTCTGGGACCCGCACAGGACCAACACAAAGATTAATACTGGTAGAAATTAATTAGCTTGCCATGATTATCAGTCAATAAAGCCCTGGGACGTCTTAACCTTTTACGACTTACATTCAGTGATTAAAAGGCATGCTCGTGGCTGCAAGAAGACCTTGGATCATAAAGACAGTGGCGACTCACCAATGTCTTCTGCTGACTTGGAAATTATGGACAGGTGTTCACAAGAATTCAGCACATGCGTTCCCTGAGTTGAGCGTTAGAGGTGAGTCCAGCTGTAAGTGAGCAGGAGCAGCAAGTACTACCTAAAAGAGAACGGGGGGCTGTGCTGTCCCCTGGGTGAGACTCACTGAGGCACAAGAGGTCACATAGTCAGGTGCCACCATCGCAGGCTGTCAGCCTGAGGTACTGGGCGTGTGTCAGTTACAGGATTACATGGATGTAAACCACTGGGAGATACAGGGGGTGACTAAATGGTTAAGAAAAGCTTGACTAGGGAAGACAACTCTTCAACAGAATCCAACTTCCCTTGTGGTAGAGAAGTCCAGTGCAGGTCACAGCCCAAGCGACATTCTGTGTGTGTGTGTGTGTGTGTGTGTGTGTGTGCTAGGTAATATTTGGATTGAATGACTCCTGTGTCCTGCCTAGCTACATTTTTTTCTCCTCTAAGGGTTTTTCTTCCATTCTCACAAATAGCTGGTCTGAATAAGCAAAACCTGTGAATATTTTAGATTCTTATTCGGTAAACTGAGAATTGTCTTGCGAGGAAAGAAAAATGGAGACAAGCTGATGGAGAAAGGGAAACTTGAAGACTAAAACTGGCAGACTGATGATAGGGACATACTTAGAGAAGAACATGCAGGGAGAGCGGAGTGGGGAGGGAGAACGGGAGAGGTAGAGATGGGGGCGTGTCTAGAGAAAATCGAAGTTTTAGAGTCACAGCGAGAGCCAGACATACTGAGCACAGAGAGCAGCAGGGGACGAAGGAGCAGGAGGTATTGCCAGGTTGGGCCACACAGCTCACAAAGAACACAGGCACTGATGTGGTTTGCCTAGGGGGTCAACCTTTCCCACTGGGGGCAGCTGGAGAGCGTGAATGTAATCTTCCTAAGTAGAAATGGGATGCTGTCTACTCATCCCCATGCCTGCTCTGTCTGCAGGGAGTCTCGAGAACCTGGCTTCTCTCCAGCACTAGGCCACTGGGACTTTACAGAGTTGCCAGGAACTGGAACTGAGGTCCTGGAGGTGAATGTGTGTGACTTCTTGGCCAGGCCTCTGCTATGCTAAGCACGTGCCCAGCTCTTGAGTCACATGCTTAAACTTAGAAGCTTCACTTTAAAAAGTTCTGCATCTTGTAGCATGT